GGTTTGTTCAAAATACTCCAAAACCACAATATTGTTTTCTAAAAACAAATAACTAAGTTAAAAATCATAACAAAGTGTAGAGAATCCCTACCTCAAAGCTAGAAGATGATTGAGAGAGTGAGGAAACTTCAACAACGCCGGAATCCAACTTTGTTCATGTCAAAACCCATATTTAAATTTATTCTTAAAAGAAAATAAATAAATTAATCAATTAATTAATGTTATTCAAAACCTACCTAAAATATAGAATAGTAAAATTAGTTTTAAATTAACCCAATTCTATCACTAACAAAGACCTTATTAAGAATAATAAGGTATTGATGTTCAATAATTATTGTTATAAATTTATATGAAAAAATATGTATATATATATATATATAGGAGAATCAGATTCGGTGGCAAGGGTATGCCACATGCTAACTTGCATGTTGGCTTGGTGAATTCCACCAAATGATGGCTTTTGGGTAGAGTGAAGTTTATGGCAGGGAATAACATCATGACAAGAGAGAGAGAGATCTGCCTATATATATCATAGGTAGACATAGTTCATGGACACATACAAACAAAAGAAGGAGTATATACGGGTGAGGAGAGATTCAGTAGAAGGAAATGAAGAGGGGAAGGTTAAGGCAGCAAAATTTTTCTACCACTTCATCACCCATTTGAATCCTACTATTAAGTAAGAAAACCCTCTCAATCCTCTCATTTTTTTTTAATTTTAAATTTTCAGCATATATGATAAATTGTCTAAACTGTGTTGAGAATAATCTGTTTTGAATCTGCTAGCATGTTTGCCCGAATTTTTAGACAATTGTATACTCAAAATTTCGAGATAATTTCTTCTACAACGTTGTTGATAATGATGTCTAGTTCATCCAGGAATTTTGGCAATAATTTTTGAGCTTTCTACAAATTTATACAAATATTTTTACTAAATGAAACTGTGTTGAGAATAATCTGTTTTGAATCTGTTAGCATGTTTACCCGACTTTTTAGATAATTTTATACTCAAAATTTCGAGATGATTTCTTCTACAAAGTTGTTGATAATTATGTTTTGTTCATCCAGGAATTTTGGCAACAATTTTGAGCTTTATACGAATTTATACAAATATTTTTACTAAATCTGAAACTGTGTTGAGAATAACCTGTTTTGAATCTGCCAGCATGATTACCCGAATTTTTATACAATTTTATACTCAAAATTTCGAGATGATTTCTTCTACAAAGTTGTTGATAATGATGTGTAGTTCATCCAGAAATTTTGGAAACAATTTTTGAGCTTTCTACGAATTTATAAAAAATTTTAACTAAATCTGAAACTGTGAGAAAGATTTTACTATGTATTTGAAAATTTATTTAAAATTCTATACTAAGCCAAATCTGGTAATTTCTAACTAAAAGATGAAATTTGAGAAGTCAAGTTTCATGATAAATTTTTAGATTATGGATTTGATTTATAAATTTAAGCATGGAATTAATGTAAGGAAATGTAACAAATTTGTGTCATAAAAATTGCTGGAAATTTTACAGAATTATTTACATCTTATTTTTTCTGAAATTATTTCTGAAAAGTGACCTAAACACCCCTATTGAGTATTCTGTTCAATTTCATGACTTTTAGGATTGTGTAAATAATTTATTTATAATTTTTAATACCTAAGTTACAATCTAAAATTTTTTGGAAAGGATAAAATCATCATTTCAATATTGTGTTGGTCTAATCCATCAATTAATATAAATTAGTAATCCATGTATGGGTGTGTTGTGATTTATTTAATATTATGCTAAGTCCAATTTGGTAAATCAAAAATTTGTGCACGTGTGTAATTATGGTTTATTTCTTGTATCTAAGTTATTATGTTCATACCATGGTTTAAATTAATTGTCTATTACCTTTTATACATTGAATTATTTTTGGTGTGACATGTATAATGTTGGGAGTTTTGTTTTAGTTGGTACAACATTATTGGTGATTGAGAATTGAATAATTTGTGTTTAATATATAAATTAACCGAAATGATTAATGGTATATATAGAAAGTTACTGACAGAGGGTCAATACCTGGTATTCAGGGTGAGCCCTGGTTTTTAATAACTTTTAAGTAAATTGTGTCGCAAAACCCTAAGTTGGCACGGGGACTATTTGAACTCTTATCGGTATTTTGTTTTGGAATAAGGGTGGATATGCGGGTGGCACGCGGGGAAGTTACGTACCCCTGGCAGACCATTCCCTTGGGGCAGACCACGGATGTCACGGCTTGGGTATATAACTCCGGGCGTGGGCATCTTTGGTAGTTCTTGAATATTTGACCAAGGGGGGTTTCCAAATTAACCGTGGCCATGTCTTAGTGGTTGGTAAGTTAAACCTCTTTGGCGAAATTTCGAAGGTCACCTAAGTTATTAAAATTATTTGAAGTATTTTAATGGCTGTAATTTATGTTTACGATTATATTATTATCTCGTGTTTATAATCTCATTATTTTCTCTCAAAAAGAATGATAGGTTGGTTATGTTTTCTTACAGTGTTCCAAAACTCATGGCATATATTTTGTTGCCCTGGTGTTCCATGCCAGATTATGTCGAAGAAGGGACTGAGGTTGAAATTGGAGCTGCTGCTAATATCGAACCTTGGCTAACTTAGAGTCAAGATTTTATCAAAATAAAATCCTGTTATTTCTTGTATTAGTATTTAACTATGTTGTGACGTTGTGTGTGAACTTGTAGTTTTATTTTGTTGTTGGACTTTGACTATGTAAGAATTTGAAATTTCCTAATTAGTAGTTAAAATTTTATCTAGCAAGTTATTGTTATTTAAATCTTATGACGTTTTAAGAAAAAAAATTTGGGGCGTCACAGTTTGGTATCAGAGCCTAGGATTGAACCTTTGGGCCATGGGTAGTAATTTATTATTTTTACATTTAAGAAAACCTTACGTTAATTTGTAATTTTCGGTGACTTAACTAAGTTAGAACCTTTTATTTGTAGGATGCCAAGGTTATCAGACATTAACTCTAACGAGGAAAATTCGGTGGAAAACTATGACATAGAATCTGACCCAAGCAAAGAAGTGGAGATGCCTATAGAAGACTATGAATCCATAAAATCTGACCCAAGTGAAGAAGTGGAGATACCTATAGAAGACTATGAATCTGAGCCTGAGCTTGACCCTGAACCTGATCCTAAACTTGAGCCTGAACCTGAGTCTGAAGAAGTTGTACCAATATACAACCCCCTGGAGGTTATTGTGATTGAGTCAGACACTGAAGATGAGTCTATAGAAAGCAATACCGAGGAGAGCACTGGAGATGTAGGAGCCACGTTTGAGGGTTGGGATGTGCGAAATGGGTTGTAGATTCGCTCTTTTGTATATGTCAGACTTTATCCCCTAGGAGGTTGTGCTTGGAAAGCTGAGAGTTGGGTGGGTACCTATATCGGACCTGTCCAGATTCTAAGACAAAAGGCTCCCTGGGTATACCAATTAGGCCCCTTCCCAGATGGTTTCACCGATAGAGTGGGCGACCTTTTTGACTTTTGGAGCCTTCAGTGTATCATGCCCGACCCAAGTAAAATTGTGAGGAGAGATGGGTTAGTGGACTTCAGGGACTGGAGGACCTATCGGGAGGAGCCGGTGCAGCTGCTAGGGCATCGTGCGTGCGAAACTGCTATCTTCGTGAGGGTGCTGTGGCAATTCATGGGACTTTTTCCAAGCCACCTGGGAGTTGGAAGCCCTTGTGTGGATAGACTTTCCTTGGATATTTTAAGGGGTCTTAAGGGAATTATAAACTAGGCTAACCGATTGTTTTGTATGCTCACATGTAAAATTGCCTAGTTTAGAATTGTGAGTGTAGGAGTTAACTTGGATTGTAGGGGTTATCTTTCGCTCGTAGTATGTTATTTAATATTTTCCTTTGTTTGCATGTATTTTGCTGGTTGTAGCTTATCTATTCTAATTAATGAAGTTTTTTTTTTTATTTTATTCTTGCACATAAATATAGTAACATATAATAATAATAAATGAATAAATCACAAGAAAATCCCATCATGCAGAATGGTTGGATGAACAAGAAATAATAACAACGGTAATGGTGATAGAGTGCCTGACAGCGATGTTGCTCAAATTATATGCGCGATTGCTGATAGGGTAGACAATACACCACCCTGAAACCAAGATCAAAACAAATAAGAAATGATAGCAAAATTTGAAAAGCTAAGTCCCCACAAATTCCTTGGTGGATCAAACCCCCATGAAGCTGAAGCTTGGTTAAGACAAATTAAGAAGTTGCTAGATACTTCCGACATCCGAAATGAACAAGATAGAGTGACCATGACAGCATTTCAAATGAAAGGGGAAGCAGATCATTGGTGGGAAATGATCAAAAGTACTCGACAAGTAGAGACATTAACTTGGAGACAGTTCGAAGACCTGTTCATGAAAAAGTATTTTCCTAACTCACTAAGACAAGAAATGATTCAAGAGTTCCTCCAACTGAAACAAGGAAAAATGTCAGTCGCTCAATATGCGAACCGTTTTGAAGCTCTTTCACGATATGCTTCAGCCATAGTAGCAAATGAAGAGGATAAGGTTAGGCGATTTGAATGGGGCTTGGACACTGACATTAGAGGAAGATTGATCGTAGTGCAACTTTCCACCTATGCTCAAATGGTGGATCGAGCTTTAATTGTGGAACGGGAGTTAGCGGATTCCGAATGCATTTGAAATTAGCGATCAAGGAACAACAACCAACCATGCGGAGGAGGCCCAGTCCGCAGCACCAGAAACCATCCTGCGCCAGCATCTTATACTGGAGGGTTGCAGTAGCAACAAAGACAGAATCAAGAAAACTAGCAAGGACGAAACTTTGTAAATGAGTGGAAAGAAAAGTGTTTCAGATGTGGTCAGCAAGGGCATCGTTGAAGTGAGTGTCCTTAGGGTGGGGAGTATTTTACGGATCAACAAGGGGCACAACAATACAACAAATGCCAGCCAGGGCAAGGTTCTATGCCTACTCAAAATACTCAGGCCAACAAGGGGCAGCCACAAGCCTCTAGGAATGCAAGCCGACCAAGAACACAACCACAAGGAGCTGGAAATGAAAAGAAACCAGGAGGGACTAACCAACAGGCAGTAGGAAGAATGTATGCTCTCCAAGAAGAAGAAAATGTTGATAACCCATCAGTAATTAAAGGTATGTTAATCCTTACGAATTCTTGGGTTAAAGTATTGTTTGATTCTGGAGCTTCGTATTCTTTTATATCCACTGCATGTGTGACAAGTTTGGGTTTAGAACCAGAAGCGTTAGAGATAGCTATGAGTGTCGCTTCACCCTTAGGAGGTCAAATCCGAGTAAATCTAGTATGTAAATCTTGTGAGCTAGAAATCTCCAGTTCATATTTGATCTGTGATCTAAGAGTTATGGATATGTCTGATTTTGACGTCATCCTAGGAATGGACTGGTTGTCAGTTCATCGAGCTATTATTGATTGTTACTATAAGATAGTGACAGCATACTATAAGATAGTGACAGCATCCCTCCTTAACGGCACGAAAGTTCAGTTTAAAGGAGATAGACAAGATTCTCTAACTCCAACGTGTCGCAAGTCGTGATGGCATGATCAACTAACCGGATAGTTGGCAAGCCTAATTTTGGAAGACGAAAATCAAAAGGATCTAGGATTACCCCATGTGGTGTGCGAATACGCTGACGTTTTCCCTGATGAATTACCGGGATTACCCCCAAAACGAGACAGATTTCACGATTGAGCTTCAACCTGGGACTTCACCGATTTCAATAGCACCACATCATATGGCTCCAGCTGAACTTCAAGAATTGAAAGAGCAGTTGCAAGAACTGTTGAATAAAAAGTTTATCAGACCAAGTACGTCTCCTTGGGGAGCGCTAGCATTATTCGCGAAGAAGAAAGATGGAACCTTAAGATTGTGCATCGATTACTAACAACTAAATCGAGTCACCATTAAAAATCGATATCCCCCACCCAGAATTGATGACTTGTTCGATCAATTAAGAGGCTCAAAATGTTTTTCCAAAAGTGACCTTAGGTCGGGATATCACCAACTTCGTGTCAAAGGAGGAGATATACCCAAAACTGTGTTTCGAACCCGTTATGGCCACTATGAGTTTGTGGTAATGCCATTTGGTTTGATGAATGCGCCTAGGGTATTCATGAGTTTAATGAACAAAATCTTTACACCCTATTTGGACCAATTTGTGGTAGTATTCATTGACAATATTTTGATATATTCACGATCGGAGGAAGACCACGAGCAACATCTGAGAACCGTTTTGCAAATTCTAAGAGAGAACCAATTGTATGCTAAAGCTAGTAAATGTGAATTTTGGTTGAAGGAAGTAAAATTCTTAGGTCATGTTGTGTCTGAATCAGGAATATCAGTGGATCCTGCTAAAGTAGAAGCAGTAATGGGGTGGAAACAACCTAAGAATACTTTTGAGATTCGTAGTTTCTTGGGATTAGTCGGTTATTATAGGAGATTCATTCAGGATTTCTCCAAATTAGCCAAGCCAATGACACGCCTAACGCAAAAATGAGAAAGTTTGAATGAGACGAAGCGTGTGAGCTATCATTTCAAGAACTCAAGAATAGACTGACAAACGCTCCTATATTAATCATACCCGAACGTGATGTTGGGTACACTGTTTATTGTGATGCCTTTAAAGAAGGGTTAGGTAGTCTGTTAATGCAAAACGGGAAGGTAGTAGCTTACGGATCAAGACAATTGAAGAATCATGAGAAAAATTATCCTACTCACGATCTGGAGTTGGCAGCTGTGGTCTATGCACTTAAGACTTGGCGACACTACCTTTATGGTGAAAAATTTAAGATATTTACTGATCACAAAAGCTTGAAGTACTTGTTTACACAAAGGGATTTGAACATGAGGCAGAGACGCTGGATGGAGTACCTTGAAGATTACCAATTCACCTTGTCTTATCATCCCGGGAAGGCTAATGTTGTAGCAGATGCACTAAGTCGAAAGACAAGAGAGATTGTAGCCAACATATCAATTAAAGAATAGGAAATGGTAAGCACCATGAATGGGTTAAAGTTACAACCAGAGACTCAAGATGGGAAGGGTAGGTTGTTTACAATAGTTACCACACCCTAACTTCTTACCAAAGTGTTGGAAGCCCAAAGATTTGATCAGGAGGCGGACTTCATCAAGGCCCGATTAGTGTCTGGGGAATCTTCACCGAATTGGACGCTCCACCAAGATGGTAGTTTAAGGTATTTAGGTAGAATTTTTGAGCCAAACATCGAACAATTAAAAGACGAAGTACTTAAAGAATTTCACCATTCGGTTTTTGCGATTCATCTGGGAGGAAATAAGATGTACCAGGATCTTAAGCGACAGTATTGGTGGAGTGGAATGAAGAAGGACGTTGCTCAATTCGTATCTAAGTGTTTAACGTGTCAGCAAGTGAAGACAGAACATCAAAAGTCGGCAGGGAAACTCCAACTTTATCAATACCTAAGTGGAAATGGGAACACATAACAATGGATTTTGTAACGGGATTACCCCAGTCGCCGCAAGGCTATCATGCCATTTGGGTGGTGGTTGATCGACTAACTAAGACGGCACATTTCCTACCAATAGAACCAGCAGGCACACTCGAATCTTTAAGTCGATTATTTATTCGAGAAATCATTAGACTGCACGGAGTACTAGTCTCAATTGTGTCAGATCGTGATTCTCATTTTACGTCACAATTCTGGCAAAGTCTGCAAAAAGCCTTGGGTACAGAGTTGTGTTTTAGCACAGCTTTTCACCCTCAAACTGACGGTCAATCAGAAAGAACAATTTAGACTTTAGAAAACATACTTCAAGCTTGTGTGATGGACTTTAAGGGTAGTTGGGAGAAACACTTACACTAGTTGAATTCTCTTACAATAACAGTTTTCAAGCAAGTATTGGTATGGCACCGTATGAAGCTTTGTACGGACGGCCTTGCCGGTCACCAATATGTTGGACAGAAGTCGGAGAAGCACCTCTTTTAGGGCCAGAGTTAGTTCAAGAAACTACTGAGAAGGTGAAACTAATTCGGCAAAGACTTGAGACCGCTCAGAGTAAGCAGAAAAGCTATGCAGATCAAAGAAGAAGGTCTTTAGCATTTAAAGTTGGAGATCATGTGTTTCTAAAAATACAGCCTCGTCGAGGAGTTATTCGTTTCGGAAAGAAGGGAAAGTTGTCACCTCGCTTCATTGGGCCTTTCGAAATCTTGGACAAAATAGGAGAAGTAGCATACCGTTTGGCTCTACCACCTCAACTTGTTGGTGTACATAATGTTTTCCACGTCTCTATGCTACGGAAATACGAGCCACACTCTTCTCACATCATCAATTGGGAGGAAATTAATCTTGATGAAGACGTGACATTTGAAGAAAAGCCTGTCAAGATTTTAGATCGTCGCGAGAAGAAATTACGAGGTAAAACTATATCACTGGTTCGAGTTCTCTGGAGACATCGTGGGACGGAAAAGTCAACGTGGGCGCGAGAAGATATGATACGTGCGAATTACCCTCAACTTTTCGAGTCTAAAGGTACGAATTAATTTCAAGGACGAAATTTCTTTTTTTAGGAGGGTAGATTGTGAAAACCCATATTTAAATTTATTCTTAAAAGAAAATAAATAAATAAATAAATTAATTAATGTTATTCAGAACCTACCTAAAATATAGAATAGTGGAAAAAAAAAAGTTTTAAATTAACCCAATTCTATCACTAACGAAGACCTTATTAAGAATAATAAGATATTAATGTTCAATAATTATTGTTATAAATTTATATTAAAAATATATATATATATAGGAGAATCAGATTCGGTGGCAAGGGTATGCCACATGCTAACTTGCATGTTGGCTTGGTGAATTCCACCATTGATGGCTTTTGGGAGAGTGAATGGGTAGAGTGAAGTTTATGGCAGGGAATAACATCATGAAGAGAGAGAGAGAGAGAGAGAGAGAGAGAGAGAGAGAGAGAGAGAGAGATCTGCCTATATATATCATGGACACATACAAACAAAAGAAGGAGTATATACGGGTGAGGAGAGATTCAGTAGAAGGAAAAGAAGAGGGGAAGGTTAAGGAAGCAAAATTTTTCTACCACGTCATCACCCATTTGAATCCTACTATTAAGTAAGAAAACCCTCTCAATCCTCTCATTTTTTTTTTATATTTTGAAATTTTCAGTATATATGATAAATTGTCTAAACTGTGTTGAGAATAATCTGTTTTGAATCTGCCAGCATGTTTGCCCGAATTTTTAGACAATTGTATACTCAAAATTTCGAGATGATTTCTTCTACAAAGTTGTTGATAATGATGTCTAGTTCATGCAGGAATTTTGGAAACAATTTTTGAGCTTTCTACGAATTTATACAAATATTTTTACTAAATCTGAAACCGTGTTGAGAACAATCTGTTTTGAATCTGCCAGCATGTTTACCTGAATTTTTAGACAATTTTATACTCAAACTTTCGAGATGATTTCTTCTAAAAAGTTGTTGATAATGATGTCTAGTTCATCCAGGAATTTTGGAAACAATTTTTGAGCTTTCTACGAATTTATACAAATATTTTTACTAAATCTGAAACTGTGTTGAGAATAATCTATTTTGAATCTGCCAGCATGTTTACCCGAACTTTTAGATAATTTTATACTCAAAATTTCGAGATGATTTCTTCTACAAAGTTGTTGATAATGATGTCTAGTTCATCCAGGAATTTTGGCAACAATATTTGAGCTTTTTATGAATTTATACAAATTTTTAACTAAATCTGAAACTGTGAGACAGATTTTACTATGTATTTGAAAATTTATTTAAAATTCTATACTAAGCCAAATCTGGTAATTTCTAACTAAAAGATGAAATTTGAGAAGTCAAGTTTCAAGATAAATTTTTACATTATGGATTTGATCTATAAATTTAAGCATGGAATTAATGTAAGGAAATGTGACAAATCTGTGTCATAAAAATTGCTGGAAATTTTACAGGATTATTTACATCTTATTTTTCTAAAATTCTTTCTGAAAAGTGACCTAAACACCCCTATTGAGTATTCTGTTCAATTGAATGAATTTTAGGGTTGTGTAAATAATTTATTTATAATTTTTAATACCTAAGTTACAATCTAAAATTTTCTAGAAAGGATAAAATCATCATTTTAATATTGTGTTGGTCTAATCCATCAACTATTATAAATTAGTAATCCATGTATGGGTGTGTTGTGATTTATTTAATATTATGCTAAGTCCAATTTGGTAAATCAAAAATTTGTGCATATGTGTAATTATGATTTATTTCTTGTATTTAAGTTATTATGTTCATACCATGGTTTAAATTAATTGTCTATTAACTTTTATACGTTGAATTATTTTTGGTGTGACATGTATAATGTTGGGAGTTTTGTTTTAGTTGGTATAACATTATTGGTGATTGAGAATTGAATAATTTGTGTTTAATATATAAATTAACCGAAATGATTAATGGTATATATATAAAGTTACTGACAGAGGGTTAATACCGGGTATTCAGGGTGAACCCTGGTTTTTAATAACTTTTAAGTAAA